TAAATCTTTTTCTGGAATAAATTTGTCATCCTATATTTTTCCTATATAGTTGAGGGCGATCCTATATATTTTAGACCTATCCTATATAGGAATTCCTATATTTTTTGAGAGAGCCGCTGCGATGCCAGCTTGAATGGTTAGAGATCAATTTTTTAGCTTCTTTCACATGTTAGTCTACAGAACAAAGTGTGCGAATGAATGTGTGATGTTCAGAAAAAAAAGTAGTATATTCATACATTCTATTTCAGATTCCCATTAAAAATATTGCACCATCAACAACGTGATTACAACTCTCTAAAAACAAAAAGTGTTATAATAAACCTTTTCTGGTACCGAGATATAAAATCTTTTCTTCAGTTCTAGACAAATTTCTTGAACTGGAAAAGGGTTTAGTCGGAAAGTCTGAACCTTTTAGGGGTTTCACAGTTGTTGAATAGAACCGAAAAAAGGTTCAGTATGATATCTTTTGTTTTTAGAGAGAAATATACAAAATCAGTTCTTAATTTCTCATTTGTATAACACTAAAAACTATTCTTCTCTATTATAGATCGTCATGTCAAATCAATCAAAAAAAGCAAACTTATTTGATCGTTCCGAGAAAGACTCAAGCCCTCTTTCTCGAGTTGTCTTCTCATTTCTACGTGCTGTTGATCCATATCTACAATACCTCTTGCTTTTCCAAGGATATGGTCCACAGATCCTCTCCAAAGCCGGTATTGTTGCCGTACCAGCTGGACCTACAGGCACAGCGCTGGTCGCTATGGCAGCCGGTTGTGCCGTGAAGCAGATTATTAACATGACCTTCATTTTGGAAGCAAAAATACCTTATTCTGGTGTTATACTCATATGTATTTATAATACAGTGCTCAACTCTGCTGCTTCATTATCGTCTTTTATCTATGGTCCATCAGATCAATTAGGTACTTTACAATATGTTGGTATTTCTATGTTTACAGTAGGCATTTTCACTGAACTGATTTCGGAAATTCAACGTAAACAATTCAAAGATAAACCAGAAAATAAAGGCAAAGTCTTCACAGGTGGCTTATTTTCCCTTGCGCGCCATATTAATTATGGTGGTTACACACTATGGCGCACGGGATTTGCTCTAACAAGTGGAAATTACTGGTTAGCAGCCTTACAATTTACTTGGCATATGTTAGATTTTACGAAACGAGCTGTGCCTGAATTAGGGGATTATTGTAGGAACAGATATGGCGAAGACTGGAAGAAGTATGAACGTGATGTTCCAAATATTTTGTTTCCTTATGTTTGGTAACACATTTAGCTGATGCATTCATTATAATTTTCATTCGTACACTCTATTCTTTTTTGTCTTGAACTATCCCATGTCCTTTAAATAGTGTTGAATAATAAACTATAGCATATTGCGTAAACCTATCAACATATCAATATATGGAAAATACAAAATTTGTCGTAATTCTATTTTCTTGCAGAAAAAAACATTTGCATTCACTGATTTGCCGAATCAATAGAACTTAAATAACGACAACGTATGTCATGTCAGGAACTGCAGTGATGATCCAAACTAAAACAAGTATACATCTAATCATTGATGATTGGCTTTCACTATTGTTTATATTCGATCATATTGTTAGAATTAGTTTTGATGTAGGAGAAATCAAGTGAAGTAAAACTCAGTTGATATTTTTGTATTTTTCTTATCAAAATAACACTGTTATACGTAGAGTACGTCAGACGACATAAGTAATCTAGTCGTGAACTCATTCGATTGCTTTTTTTCAAAAATCCACTTGCTAGTTCGTATAAAAGTGAAAAACAAAATATAAACGCATATATGTGAAGATTTTCGATAAAAGAATAGTTACCACGGATGGAGTTATGCTTTATTTATATTCTTGGTAGCGCATCATTCTGATACAAGACACATGTTTATCTATGCAAGCAAAATAGAAGAGAGAGAGAGGGATGATAATAGTCTACACGTGACCGTGTTATTCATCGCAAATGCTACACATCGTCTATCAAAAGAATAATGCTCCAACAAAGTGAAGAACGAAACATATGAGAAGGTTATGTCATGGAAAAATACGAGAAAATAACTGCGCTTTCTAAACCCAGCAGGAATTGTCACACTATGTAGGAGTGTGCCGTGTCATCAATACAGTGGACACTAAAGTTCGAAACGTTGACATCGATGTTCGCTGGAATATTGCTTCTGCCAAACGATTTGTCTTGGAAAATTTTAATTGTAATGATCGATACAAAATCAGAAATTAAACAACCCTCTCCTTGTCAAAGATAGCATAATCTTAAATAATACAAACGAAGTTCGATGGATTTCATCACTTATTTTACTCTTAATGTATAAATACTGCCTTTGAATTCATTTTGTTTTAGCTATATCTGTAGATAATCGAACTTTAAATGGATTCAACTTATTTATTGCAAACTATAAAGAGAATCTGGAACACATCGGGTAGACTCAAGGAGCAAAAATAAGTTTTGTTTATTGTGGAGTGCAGAAGTCTCCCTTCGTTCCTCGTTGTCATATGTCTCCACTCATCGTTATCACCTATTATGTCTATAAATGTCTTTGAGATATCTCTATACCAGTACGGATGTGATTATCGTAACACGTTACAATGAATTTCCAATCTACATCAATTGAAACTGGACTACGGCCATTTGATCAGTGAACATAAATGGGAAAAAAAATTTCTTTTTCATATGTCAGATAGTTTTAGATGAAATGAAACGATCAAACAGTAGATTGATGAACTTATCGATTGATTAAGAGAAATATTGCCAAACAAACTCCCATCGATTGAACTATCTTGTTAGTTTTACGCTATCGTGAAATTTATTCATAAGAACATAACACCGAACAATCTTCGATCGGATCATACTTTTGAAAATTTAACCCCTATGTTTTATGATCGAAAATGAAAGAGCACGGTGAAAAACCTATAAATCCAAAATTTTAGTTCTTTCTAGCTCACCTCTGAAAAGTGATGAAGTCTAATAGATTTTTTAAAACAATCCGTTTTCGTTATGTAAAATTTGGCTATTTTCGAGTAATATAAGATTTCATACAGCAAATTTCGCTTTCTAAAGCAGTCGTCCATACTCCAGATCACCACAGCACCTCACACTAAGTTCCAATTGTTATTTTCGAATAATTGCTCCTTACATGTTTAGAACACCGCATGTAAAACTTTTTATCCAAAAAAGTTACTAAGAAGTACTTTTAATATTTTTTCACCTAATGCAAAAAGTACTTATAAGTGAACCTTTTTAAGTACTATTTCTACTTTATCGCTTCCCGAAGTAATTAAAAGTAGTTTTAATAGTTATTATTAGTACTTCAAAAAGTACTAAAAACTACATGTGTAATTATACTTTTAATTAATAGAGTAACTTAAGTACTTAGTAGTAATCAATATACAACATTTGCAAAACTCACTTCGAAACAATAAAAGCGCTCATAAATAACTGAGAGATTTTTATTTTCCAGTGAATACTACTGAAATTGGCGACTATTTGTGTAGCTATCCACTTGGAGCCAAGTGTTGTCCACCATCTATCCCGTATGATATAGATGTCAAAGTCACACCTGCTGGCTTCCACCACGATGCAATATTCTATAATACAATGAGAAAAGAAAACAAAGTACGTGATTTAGTGAACGTGCTTAATTATCAAATACTAAGCGCATTTCAAGGGACAATATATGATATGGCATAAAAGAATGTATCACTCAACGTTGATTAATCCTTAAGAGCATGTCTTGAAATATGAGAAGTTTGATGAAAGAAATTGCGTTAACTAAAATTTAGTATAAAACTATATATAGTATTGAATGAGTTTCGCGTGTACATGAGAAAAACAGATGATGATGGGAAACAGTGAAATGAAAAGTAGGTAGTAATACCTGATCGTAGATGATAACGAATGACTAGAAAAGGTAACATGTTTCTTTCTCATTGTATTATAGAATATTGCATAGTAATGAATGCTAGCAGGTGTGATTTTGACATCTATATCATACGGGATAGATGGTGGACAAAACTTGGCTGCAAGTGGATAGCTACACAGATAGTCACCAATTTTCTATACTTACGTACGTATAATTTTAAGTAATCAGGTAATTTTCACTAAAAACAGCGTTTCTTGTATATCCTGATAGTGCGCGACGCACTGCGGTGATTGTCTAGTGTACAAAGTACTTTTTGTACTTTAGTTATACTATCATAGGTCACTTGAAAATAAGCGAATCATTAGCATTTTTGTCGGTTTTAAAATTTACAGGTAAGAGTTAACGTGAATATAATCGTTATTTTAATGTATTTATAAAAAAAATTATACACAAGTGCTAATAAGCGTTTTATATCATGAACACTATTTTGTTCACAAAAGATCATGAGGGTGCGTCTGTGTGTGGGGTGTTGGTGTCGGTGAAGAACAGGCACCTACATCCACACGCCCTTTGAAAAAACGAAAAGTTTTCAACGCAAATAGTCTAAGTAGAAAACCAGTATTCGCCACTTACACTGCAAAAACAAATGCAAACCATATATCTCAATGGAAAACTAGAGATTTTACTCCTATCGCACAATGCTATTTTCTTCAGCTCCAAGTATACAGCACTATCACTGCTAGGTTTCTCAAATACTTACATTCCACCAGAGTGATATTCATTATTTCATACTTGCCATCTTTTATTATCAAGTACTGCTTAAAAATGAGTGAACAGCAAAAATCATTTTTCTAACCACAAAAATTATTATTAAATACTCCTTGTAAAGCTCGAAATAATATAAAGTACTTCTAAAAGTATAGAAATTAATAAAATAAACTTTATGAGTCAAAAAGTGCTATTAAGTACTTTCAAAAGTTGAAAAAGTCGAAATGAGTACTATGAAAGTGAAAAAAGTTAATTTATTTTACTTTATTAATATTTAAAGTACTTAAAAGTTTCTTTTTTCACTTTTTTTAAATGGGTGGTCAAGTAGTTCCTGTTTTTTTAGTAACGAAACAAACATAATATACAATTTTTCGTCTTCTAAACGTATCTAATAAGTAACTTCGAGTTAAAGAAAACGATGAAGTATTGATTGATGATTCTCTGTATAAGTTCTTCGATGACTCCTAGTGCCATTAATAACAGTCAATTACATTTCGATATATTTAAAACGATCGAAGTAGATTACCTTGTTCATTTTTATTACAATGGCACACAAAAAGGAATATTTTTTTGATTTACTACAAACTGTTATGAAACATTTTTTAACGGTGGTTCTAAGTACGAAATAGCTAGAAAAGTGATAATTCCTCGAAATTCAGTCCATTACATAATCACGAAGTACAAAATAACAATTACAGGAAATATTATTGGTCGAAATCTAAAACGTAAGACCTCAGGGCGTCTTGATAAAGTAATTGAGCGAAAAGTAGAATTCGATCAGCAAAACCCCGCATCATTTGTACAAGTTGACATTGAATCCCAGTTAGGAGTAATAATTTCTGAGCAAACTGTACGTCATCGACTACATAAGGGCGACCTTAAGGGTCCTGTAGCTAGAAAAATACCATACATTGATAAAGCCAATCATGTTGAAATGTATCATGAAAAGCTTCTAGACTAGTGAGATCAAGTTTTATGGTCTAATGAAAGTATATTTAAGTTGTTTGTGTCTACCGGAAACGTATCGCTTGGCAAACATCGAAGGAAGAGCTCGATTCCAAATACATCATTCTAACAGTTAAATACAGAGGAAGAAATATGATATACCGAGGCAGTTTTTGATCGTTTCGTGAGAGGGATCTCATCTTCATAAATGGAGACACTGCAAGCGAAATTTATCATGATATTTTTCAAAACAATTTGTTTGAGCCTGTGAAAAAATTAATTTTGTGGAGGAAATGAGCCAAGGAATATAATAACGATTCAAAACATCTGGTAAAAATAATAACCAATTGTTTGTATGAAAAAGAGAGTGGACTATTCAAATAGCCGCGATTGTCTCCACATTTTTAAGCATTTCAATTCTGGTATGCACCAATATGAACAGAAAAAATCCTAGTTATTAAAAACAATCAATCATAGTAGATCACCCGGTTATAAACCTCTCTCTCTCTCTATCTTATAGAAATGACCGCAACCAATAGATATTTTAGATACTTTTCTTGTTTTATGGCTTCATGTAAGATTGAACTTCTAACATATCCAAAAGAATGATATTTCTATGGCAGATTAAAGTAAAAAACAAAATCACACACACAGATTATATTGTGATATTTGCATTGTTTTAGTATTGCACTTTAACAATGAGATGTAAACTGTCGTATCGTTTTATGGATTCATTCTTTATCATGTACTTTTCTAGTTTGATTTGGTCTCTTTTTATTCCAGCTGTATTTTGTTCACATTGTTCCGATTTCAATATACGAGGAATAACTGCACATAGGTGGGAAGTTATTCGAGATATATTCTGTGACAATTTTATACAAGAAAGAGATGTAGGTGCATCAGTTGCCATTTATCATCAAGGTGAATTGGTTGTTGATTTGTGGGGTGGATGGTTTGATCGATCGCGAAATAAATTTTACGACGATGATACACTACAGCTTGTCTTCTCAACGACAAAAGGTCTAGTAGCAGCAGCTGTTGCTCTTTACGTGCAACAAGGTCTATTGGATTATTCAGCATTGGTTACAAAAATATTGGCCAGAATATGGACAAAACGGAAAAGAAAATACTACCATGGCGGATATTCTTTCTCATCGTGCTGGATTACCTGACGATGGATCCCCCATTGAACAATATTTGAACTGGGCAGCAATGATTCATACATTAGAACAACAGGCACCGTTATGGCCTCCAGGAACAGCTCATCGTTATCATCCTTTCACCTATGGTTGACTGGCTGGAGAACTTGTGCGACGTGTCGATTCCAAGAGAAGAACTCTTGGACAAATTATTAAAGATGAAATAGCAAATAAATTAGGCATTGAATTTTATGTTGGACTACCATCAAATCAACAACATCGTGTATCATCACATGTTCTCGATTTAAATGTACAAATGACATTGGATGAGTTAATCCTGATACCATTTCACTTTTTCAACGAACATCGGGCACATCGAGCAGAAATGCCAGCTGTAAATGGAATCGCCAATGCTCGGTCCATTGCAAGACTCTATGCATCACTCATTGGGGATACCAATGACAGAAAATATAAACGATTGATCGAAAAAAAGTTTATGGATCAAGCAACGAAATCGAATACACCGCAGCATGAACTTGATTACCATGAGCTTGCCACTCCATTTGGCATGGGCTTCATGCTTTACGATAAATTTCTTACATCGCTTGCTCCAGGAACATTTGGTCATTACGGTAATTTGAATGTTTAATGCGATCGGATTNTCCCACACACAGCCACACCCACACGCCCACACACCCACACCCACATAGCCGCACCCACACCCACACCCACACCGACACCCATTTTGATTTTCTGTTTTGTTTGTGAGATCCCTTAAAAGTCTTTTATGGAGTCTCAACAAAGTCGTCATATTTACTACAAGGAGTTTGGAAGTTTTCCAAGGAATTCATGTGGACCTATACCTGTTTTTTAAAACCACTCGACCTTTGCTTTAATTTGAGAAGACTAAAATCTATTTTATGGAAGATGATTTGCCATTTTTCAGGAGTATCTCAAATCTAAGCCGACTAATAGGTCTCGTCGAGCAGTGTTTTATCTAAATTTCATTTTTCAGGTGGGCGGTTGAAGTTTTTGGGTGGGCTGTTAGCTTAAAAATATCTATCATATAACACAGAAGCAACATTTTGCATGTGAAACGTTTCATAATTTCCCGTTATTTTTAATACGACAACTTAAGCGAATTTAGCACGCTTAGAAGCATTCTTGCTGTTTTTATTATTGTTGTGCACAATGAACAACTTTCATTAACATTTGATTGGATGCCATACGACGGTTCAGTATATTTGAGAGTGCATGTGTATTCGTTGTATTATCATTTATTTTATTCTCTGTTGTGGAATTATTTTCAGACTCTTCAACCTTTTCTTTTCTTTTAAAATATGAAATGAGAGATTGTTGTCTTGATGACATTTATTTAGAGATGACTTGTGTCGAAGTTGAATAGAATGAATATGCTCAATGTGAAGAGTGCGAAGCGACAGAAGCATTAGCCTGATAGAAAAGATACATGAGTTTTCTTATTTTCGTTCTTTTCAATCTATTATTATGGCGCATCACCATAAGAATCGACTATTCGATGAATAGTCGAATTGAGTTATACGGATGTTATCCATGTAACTCAGCGATCATGACATGCGAGTGAAACTAAAAGAGAAAAAAATCTGATGTTTTTCTATGAAATCCATTGTCTAATTTAGGGTGGGCGGCACCCATCTGACCCGTACAGTAGCTAAAGTCCTCGCGATTCTAGAAATTCGGATCACTTCATCAGTTTTACTACTTCTAGTTGTTGTAGCATTACCGGTAACTCCAAGGGGGAAAAAGCGGATTCCGTCTATCCGGGATACGTGACAATCCGCACAATCCAGAGGATACATTGGCGATCCACCCGATCCGTACGATACGCACGATACATTACAGATACCGAGGATACGAGTTCATTCCATCGAAAAATTCAAAATAAATAGGATAGATGTAATACGATTACGATGAGTCGTAGCTGGCGAAGAATTTCATTGGGTTTGAAACAAATTTTTAATGTTTTTTTGTCATTTATTTCTGCCATGAGCATATTTTTTCATAGAGCAAAATGGATTTAGTGTAAGAGAAATAACAATTCGATGTGCACAGCGCCAGCTAGATCTACTAGTTTAATGTTCATCCAATCTGTGCAAAATATTTTACCCAGTTAATAGGTATAAAAGTCATCCAACATAAGTAAAGACTGAGCTTGCTTCCAATCGAAATGGTTTGACTTTGTTAACTATTATGTATGTATAGGAAACTAATTTTAAGGATGACGGTACAAATGTTTTGAACAAATATCGTTTCGTTGTTCAGCTGTTTAAATGCTTTGAGAACCTAACTGCAATAAGCTACTAGTTTTTTTTTTGAATATGTCTACATGCATTTCTCGACAACAATACATTTATTTACCCCGAAATTTTGAACATACATACATCTCAAACTCATCCAGTTTTTGTATAAAAATAAGGTCAAATGAATGAAATATGAATAGATGAACCAGTACTGCCATGTATACAAGAAAATTGTCATATATAGATGTTTTGTGGATAAATATATCTCGTAACTCGATCATATTACAAAGCTAAAATTCTACTCATAAAAATATCTTGTTGAATAGTTCCTTTAGCAGAAGTCTTGGCTCTCTAGATAGTGCCTATGACCTATACAACTGTTCAAAAAAATCAGGATTTTTATCAAAGACATTGCTTTGAAAGAGTCTAATCTCCTAAGATACCTGATCAGCAGATGCCTGGTTAATAAATTTTAAAAAGGAGCTTAGAATGAGATGAAATGATTCTGTCCTTTTCAATTCCATTAGATGAGATGGGGTAGTTTTCTTATATCATCGGATTGTTTTCTTGTTTTGTAAAAAATAGGCCTGAGGTTTTGTTTTCGTTAAGATGTTTTTAGCAAGTACTTTATAGAAACGCTGACTAATAAAATTTATTATAACCCCATTTTCCGTCTTTCTTCTTCAAAACAGACATGTTCGTTGCTAACTATTTTCTTCTAATTTTGAATAGAAATTTAAAAATCTGTTTTCAGAAGTTTAAATAATAATACTAACAACTGCTTTTGTGGATTTCTATCTATTTTATAAGCGCTTATGTTCTTAAAATTCTACTACACAGTTATTGATTTTATGAATAAGAGACTTGGTTATAAAGAATCCTTAGTTTAAATGAATGTTAAACAGAAATATTTTATTAACCTTCGATTGAAAACGAACTAATACATACATAGGAGATTCTGGTGATTATACATAGATCCTAAAGTAATTGAGTTCAAAACAATTCGCAGAGATCTCGAGAAACCAACTAAAATACACCAGTATAGTAAAAAAATAATCTAGCGGCTCTGGACACTAGAAAGTAATCAAAAATAGCAAGAAACAAATATTCCATGATAGAAAGATGCGCTGAAGAGGGGAATCTATTACTTTCTATTGTTTAGACATATGAAAATGAAATCCTCGTATATTTTTCACGAAGATTTTCAGAAATTTCTTTCTATTTCTTTTTAGAAGGGTCTTTGGGAGAACCTATAGAAGGTTATATACTGATTTCTACTGAATAGTTTTTATTTCACTTTATGAAAGTTCTCTATTAATTTTCAAGTGAAGTCGAGTATATTTTCAGCGGAAAAGGGTCAACTGTGAGTATCTTACAATAACTCACCCAAACATATTCTAGGAGATCCCATGTTAACTCTTGCAGAACTTTACGGTATTTATTATGTCCTTCAAAATCAGGGTGTGGGTGTGGGTGTGTGGGTCTGTAGATTTTCCACTTCTATCGACACCCACAGTCACAGCCACAGCCACAGTCACATCGCACACCGCACACCCCACACCCACACCCGCACCCCATCCATTGTGTGAAAATATCTAGCGTTTCCATGATGAATTATCTTGAACGCTTTTGGGTAGTAATCGGGAACCTCAACTAGCATCCAAAAACGGTATAGAAAACTATAGTGTTTAAACGCGTTTTTGAAAAATTTTGTCTGCTTGGGTAAGCAGTATGTTTGTCAACAATATACGTCAATAGTCTTAAAACTTGTATTTCCACTACATATTTCAACATCAGAAAACTGTAACAACTTTGATTGAAGACAAATTCAGTGGTGTTGCATGAATATTGACTTATACAACGGTATAAATGAACTTCTAACTGCGATACTCAGTAGTTTTGACATCGCCGTTTTTATCCAAGAAAATAAAATTGGATTCATGAATACGTCATTTCACTTTCTGATCCTGTCTATTTTCATGATATTCTCGTATCCGGGATACGGTGGCGATCCATACGATCCATGCGATCCATACGATCCATGCGATCCATACAATCCACACGATCCCACGATCCGCTTTTTCCCCCTTGGGTAACTCGCTGAGTTCTACTAGTTCTGTTGGTTTTAGCAAGTCTTGTAGTTCCATTAGGTTTAGCAATTGAATGAATTTTAGCAACTTTCATACTTCCAGTAGTTCTGTGACTTCAGTACTTTTAGTAATTCCAGTTGGTCTAGTAACTCTGACAGTTCCAGTGATTTCATCAACGCTTATAGGTGCAGTAACTTCTTCAGTTTTAGCAAAGTTACTAATCTTCACCTATTTCATCAGTTCTAGCATTTCGGGTGGTCCTCGTAGTACCGGTACGTCTAGTATCTCTAGTAGTTTCCGGTAATTCTAATAGATCAATGAGTTTTACTATGTCTCGTCATTCTAGTAGTTGAAAACGTACAGTTGATTGTGTTTGAAGAGTTCTCAACTGCTAGAACCCCTGTTCTGTCTCATATAATGAGCACTCAACAAGTGGGATTATCGAGTCTTCTTCTGAGCTTTACACTCATCTTCTGTTAAAGCACCCGTGTCTCCCAATTGATTTTAGAGAGTTTTCTATTATTACACTGCGTTATTTTTAGCCATCCCGAATATTCCTACAAGTGCTCGTTGGTCACAGAATGGTGTCACTGTTGCTGGAGGTAATGGACGTGAGAAAGCCACCAATCAGCTCATGGATCCCCAAGGTCTCTTTGTTGATGATGATCAAACAATTGTCATTAGTGACATGTCGAATCATCGTATCGTCCAATGGAAGAAAGGTGAAATCAATGGACAAGTCATTGCTGGTGGCAATGGCGGAGGAAATCGATTGGATCAATTCAATCAACCAACTGATGTGGTCATCGACAAAGAGACCGATAGCCTCATTATCTGCGATTGCAAGAACGATCGAGTCGTCCGATGGTTACGTCGTAGTGGCACCACACAAGGTGAAATCTTCATCGACACCATCGCTTGCTGGGGATTGGGCATGGGTGATCAGAGAAATCTCTATGTCTCTGACCCCAAGAAAGATGAAGTCCGACGGTATCCAATAGGTGGCAAGAATGGAACTATAGTCGCTGGTGGCAATGGCAAAGGTCCTGGCCTCAATCAACTCAACTCTCCGAATTACATCTTTGCCAATCGACAACAGACTGTCTACGCATCGGACTCCAGGAATCATCGTGTCATGAAATGGCATAAAGATGCAAAAGAAGGGATTGCAGTCGCTGGAGGTCTAGGTCAAGGGAATGCTCTAACACAATTGTCTTTACCTGAAGGGTTCTTCGTCGATACCTCGGGTAATCTCTATATTGCAGACTCCGCAAATAATCGTGTCCTCCGTTGGCTTCAAGCTGCGAAACAAGGCACTGTTATTGCGGGTGGAAACGGTGAAGGATCCGCAGTAAATCAGTTTCACTGCCAGAGAGGTCTGTTCTTCGATCGCCATGGCAATCTTTATGTCGTTGACATGACCAATCAACGTGTACAACAATTTTCAATCGAATAGAATCGAATTTCGTTTGTTTTCTCTCGCTTTTTTCCTGTTGCTTTCGTTGCTTCGCGTAAGGGTGTAGGTGTGGGTATGTTTTAAATATATACTCATACCCACATCCTCAGGTTTTAGTTAACGTTAATTTAAAATTAACGTAAAAGTGCCACCCCTAATGGTGGGTGTGGGTATGGTTGTCGGTATGTGTGATAATGAATAAATGTACCACACCCACACTCCAGTGAATTCAATACTTGTCAAAACGATTGAACAATCGATTGATATTTATAGTTTATTGAGCAAATACATATTTTAACAGAATTTAAGATAGTAAAAAGAGGCAAATATTATCACATCTATTGGGAATAAATTAATTACAAAACATTCTTTCTTATACTCTAAATATTATAGTATTTTTATGAGTATACTTATATACGATAATATAAACAAGATGTTTGTTTTTGTGCGAAAAATGTCACTTTTCATATTTCTCTAATGAATTTGTTCAAATTCTCTTGTCTTCAGTAATTTTCTAGAAGATCGTTGTTCTGTCTCTGTGTCACGAGTTCCTCAGCTGAACGAAGAAAAAACTATGAGACTTGATACCGATACAATGAAAGTATTTGTGAAATACTCGTTATTACTTATTGATGTTTGAGAAATAGGCATGTTGCTCTATTTCTACATAAGAATGCTTGCTACAGTTTTCATTTCACTTCTCTTTTAAAGAGTGATTTATGATGAATAAAAATCGAATAATAAAAATTGTTTTGGGAATAATATGTATTAGACAGCCAGACCAATATCAACACTCGCTCGAGTGCAACGTATACGATAGATATGTAAATATGCCTTTCAAAAGATTACTATATATTACATGATAAATTGAATGAGTTTAAAAAAACAAAACGAATTCCATTGAAACTAAATTATCATATTTCAGAAGTCCATGTTTGATTTCATTTGATAGCGATGAGATCTGCTTGTCGAAAACTTATTTGTAACAAGAGCTACTAGTAAACCACTTTAGTGACATACTCAGCAGGATTTTGTAAACTTTTTTTTTTTCTTTAAAGTTAATGCATAGAATTTTTGTATACATAGGTTTTCAGCAAATTAGTATGAGTTCAGGATAGTCCAAACCTAAATTTACCGACAACGAAGAGATCTTGACACTTTAAATCTGCAAAAGCGAAGTGAAAGAGGCGCTTTGTTAATTTCTTATAATGTTCTCAACAAAACGTTTAATTAATCAACCGAACTTCTAGAGTATGTGAACTGTAGATGGTTTACCGACTGAGAATTTATACTAACAATTATGTTTCCGACCATACTAGCTCTCTGTTCTGGTGTGATACATGGTCTATGAGGTAGGGAGTGGGTGGAGTTCAGTCAATATGAATACAGTATGTATATCCATACCCACAGGCAAACTTCGAACTCCACACCGACTTGTTAAGATCCTTAAATAAGATTGAAAAGATTATTAACAAAATTCTGCTTGTTTTTTTCTTTTTTATACTCTAGCTGGTCAGTCTTCATTTTTTTTCTCTCTTGAGTTATATTCAATTGCGTGGAGGGACATATGAGAGAAAAAAAAGGAAGATAACACGAAAGATAAGCATACCGTATAGTGTAGATACTGTCGATGATAATTTCATGTCTTCGCTCGAGCCAAACACAAAAAGTCAAAGTGAAGCATTTTACAGTTCTTTAACGCCTTTGATAGAATTATTACCGATGAGCACGTAGAAATACCTGTAACTAATATACAAGCAGATACGTCCACAGAAGCATCATGATCGTCATTGCAACTTTCGCATTAATATTCTTGTCCATTTCGTATATTGTTCCTGCCACTGTAGCGAGCAATCCTTCGCCTACTGCTCAAACACAGCAAGGCGTTTACGTTGGTTTTCAAACAACAGAAAACGGCACGGATATCAACTATTGGTATGGCATACCTTATGCGCAGCAGCCGATCGGTAATTTGAGATGGAAGCCTCCTCAGCCTCTTGAGACGTCCAATGGTACTAAATATGCATATTCTCCTAATGTTTGTCCTCAAACAAATACATACATTTTCCCGATGACAGAATCTTGTCTCACTTTGAATGTGTATACTCCTGCAAATGCAAGTAATTTACCAGTGTATGTATGGATCCATGGAGGTAGCTTTACAACGGGAGCAGGTATTCTATATGGTGCACGTCAATTCGTTAGCACAAGTGTCATCAATGCTGTTCCTGTTGTGGTCGTGACAATCAACTATCGACTAGGTCTACTCGGTTTCTTGGCTGATGAAGGATTATATGACGAAAGATCAGGCAATAAAAACAGAAGTACCACTGGTAACTATGGCATCTTAGATCAGATCATGGCATTAGATTGGATCAAAGAAAATATTGCTGGTTTCAATGGTGATCCAACTCAAATTACTATTGGTGGCGAGAGTGCTGGAGGTGTGAGTGTCACCATTCTACTCACATCGCCCTTGGTAACTAGTGGTACTTTCCAGAGAGCTATTATCGAGAGTGGTGCTATATGGCCAAATGGTGTTAGCAACATGGAAACGGCCATCAATTCTACTGGTCAAGTTTTGCGGGCCAATTTCAATTGTACGATGGTGCAGTGCTTGCGTGATCTTACGATACAGGACATTCTCAAAGTACAAGCTACCATTGTATCGAAAAATATCATCGGAATAGCCGCCGAACCAGTAATCGACGGTTACGTTCTCAATGATATCATGGAAAATTACTATGCCAGAGGAGACTTTCAACGAGTTCCCGTCTTGGTAGGTTCCACTACAAATGAGACATCTACATTTACCTGTCCGTATTTTAAAGAAAAGGCCAGTGTTGCACAAGTTCAAGCGTTCTTCGTCACTATTTACAATGCCACTATTGTCAATGAAATTCCTACCATTTACGGTCCAATTTCAGCTTATCAGAATGCGCTAACTTACCTAAACATCGTCTATAGCGACGCATGGGCACATTGCGGATCTAGACGTCTAGCTTCTAGATTTTCTGATTATGGGTTGCCCGCCTACCTCTATACGTACAATCATCTCATACCTGTGACAGCTACGTGTTTAGGTGTGGCTCATGCTTTTGAACTTGTCATGTTCTTTCCAGATCTGCTACTATTTTTGTTTCCAGGCTACAGATTGACTGAATTCGAGAAGCAATTGTCGACGAATATGATGCGTTATTGGGCTAATTTCATCCACACATCAAATCCTAACGACGGTAGTGAACTGACAAATTGGAATAGTTATTCAAGCTCGTCCGATGATGACTTTGTTCTTGACATCACTTCAAAAATGCGAAGTGATTACTATGATCTTCGTTGTTCAAGCTTTTGGGATCGATACGCTGTCACAAATAGTTCTTTCATATATCGAGAGAAATAATAAGTTCATGGAAAATTAGAGAGACTAGTCTCTTCATGTAGACGCAAGCGAATCAAGAGTTTTTTTTCTCTTGTCTTGTATTCTTCTATTCACATACATATCTACCCATGATTACCCTCACTTTCATTAAAAGATTCCAAATCATTGTATCAGTGTTGTGTCAGGGATGAATCCTAATGTTCAATACTATTTCTAGTCTGACTATCAGTACAACCAGTAGCGACTAATAATATTCCATCTTCTAAGAAAGAAATCTGAAGAGGACCACCCAGGGAGGAACGGGTGTGAGTAGGAGAAAATGGCAACTCCATAACAAAAGTTGTTTTCTGTTTTCCCAGAACGTCATCATGTGGATTTTGTTAGATATTATCTCTATTGAATTATAATTGATAGAATTTTGAAAAACATTTGAATTACAATAGAATACAATAATATTTATATGATAAATATAACGTAGTCATAAATGTTGGCAAGGGCGAAAGGTAAGTTTGAGTGTCTAAATAATAATCCATGATTGTTATATTGTTTGAGAAATGGATTTTATAAGCTTTTTGTATTTCTATTATTGTTGACGTCGTGTTTTGTATGATTTGAAATTTTTACCTAAATATTAATGATCATGATGTCTTTGTTTTTCAAATGAAATGACTTTTTTAATCAGTGGTTATATTTTCTTTAGATAGGATGGGGTGTTGGTAATTGTTCACTCATTCACGAATATCCACACCCACACCCTTACTCCTTCTTTTCCTGAACTAGGTATTATACATCACTAATTGGAGAGCTTGGGGGTGCGGGTGAGGATGGGTTTCAATTGTCTACTAGAGTAATGACAAAAACATATACTTTTGAAATGAGATATGACACTTCGTCTGTGTATGTTGTCGTGAGAAATAGTATTTGTGCATATGATTGAAGTTTATTGAGGATATTATTTCAAAATTTAATGGAAAACATTAGTTACAATTACGAAAAATGTTTCAGGTCGCGAATTTCTCTCTGATTCGTTGTCATGTGTCTGCGAGTATCACGGCTGCGTAATACATCAAGTGTATCTTGAATTTTATTTTTCGTTCGCTGGGTACATTGACAATTATTCGACATGGTTACAGCTTCGTTCATATGAGCATCTGCTTCATCGAAATGTTTCAAAATATATTCGACCATGGCAAAATTTAGATGGTTTTTTATAATTAAATCGATATCTGGAGAAACCTCGCGTTGTGCCATCTCGAGGCTTTGTGTAAAACAATAATGCGCCATGTCACAATCTCCTCTCGCGAGGTAGATCAAGCCCATACGTTCATAAGCGACTATTGTATCTTTAGAATGACCAAGCTCAATAACTTCACCAAATATCTTGAAAGCAGCATCCATATCTTTCAATTCTACGAAAATTAATGCAATCCGCATTTTGTCTGCACTGACCTTAGGATCATGAGATGAATGGTGCTGACAACGAAGTTCTACTGCTCTTTTATAGTGTACCAATGCATTGCAATTATCTTTAAACTGCTGATATAGACTTGCGGAAATGTCATGTGCCGAAAGAAGCATGGGTGATTTTTCAGATAATTTTGGCATATTGAAAATTTTTTCACAGGTTTCGAGAACTGCTCGCCAGTTTTCTTGCTTTATATAGATAAGAGCTAGTTGTATGCATACTGCCGCACGTTGATCATCGTCACATGAACGCAAGAGAGCCTCTTGTAAGCATTGAATAGCTTTGTCATTATCGTTTTCCTGCGCAGCTGTCCAAGCAATTCCGCGTAGTATATTATTTTGCCACGGATTCTTCTTAATAAAAGATTGATCCATCAATGACTGTATTTGCTCAAAATTTGGTAATCCAAGTGGTTCATTTTCTCGACTCGAAATACCAATCGCCTCCATGGGACACCTTGGTGAATTATTATAACGCATTCTATCATTCTCTAAAATTAGTCCTTGGTTTTGGCTCTCTTTAACCAAATAAGGCATCACAAATCTTAAAAAAGTGGAGATATCTGAATGTGATGTCGAAACCATTTCCATACTGAAATCAATCATTTTCTCTGCTATCTGCAATCTATTTAGATAGGAATTATCATGAAAGCCCATCAATGGTTTGACGGCTTTGAAAGATTCTTTCATTTTAGATAAATTTTCCCATAGTCTAGTCCGCTCATTAGATTCAGTACTGTCTGATTCTGGTTTCTGGAATTCTATGCTCGATTTGAGTATTGTATCCATACAATTAGCTATCGGATCTTCAAATTGATCGATATGTTGAGTAATTTGTTGTGCTTTTTCGATTTCACCCATACTGAGAAGTGCTTGTCCAATCAGTAGCCGCGACATGTTCTCATTGAATATTAATGATTCATCGCATTTTGGGAGCCGCGTTTTTAATTCTCGATATACTCTATCTTCAAATGGACATGCGCAAAAGCAGATTTTCCAAGCATTTCCTTCAGGTTCCACCGATTCAATAAGCAATGTTGTGCCCATGGCTAGTAACACTTCTCTTTCTTCTTCGAAGATGCTCTCCACAGTAATGTCAGCGAAGACTATCGATATGTCTCCAAATTTAGATTCATCAATGATGATTTCGAATATAACTGATTCCAATTTTGGTCGATCTTCACCATCACCGGCCCATATTTCTGCTAGATTGCGGTATTTTGTTGTGGATAGAAAACTGTTTATTGCCATCAAGTGACCAACATTATCTTTTATTTGCTTGAATTCATTTAAAGTCATATGTTGACCTCGATAGAGTCGATAAGTATTGTGGGATATACCTAAAATCAAGAAATACATCATATCAATCTCTTCGGACGATATGCAATGCAGCACAGGGTTAGGTCCGCATAAGCTGATATATAATGTGTTACTCTATTGGGTAGTACACAAAGAAAGAAACATGGATTCCCAATATTTGAACATCACATTGGTACGTACTATGTCCAGTAGGTAAGGTAAACATACGATTGGGATGGGAATGCTACAATGAACAGGGAGAAGAAGAACATGTGGAATACCAGTATCGAGCAAAATCAAAGCATGGTCCTTCGAGAAAGTAATAGTGCTTTTAGAGAAAACAAAGCTATAACAAAGTTTTGCATAGATTCTATAAATCAACTAACATTTTCAATGAATATTACATTATGAACATAGACCGATGTTTCTTCTGCTTACCGTTAACGTTCTTGGTTTGCTCCGTATGCAATGTCTCAACCTGGCGATATATATCTTGAATGATAAATCTGAACTTCCAGATGATGAGCATGTTTGCTCTACGGAGTGCAGCATTAAGCTGTCGATAGAGAAATGAGTCCTTTGTATACCAAGAGATTGCTTTCGTTGATTCATATGTCTTTGCAAATTCGTCGATTTTTTCAAGTTCTTTTGCGTTGCCATCGTAAGCAGCGCGACATTCTTTGAGCATATCTGTATGAATGTTATTAGTTGGTTTCTGTGTGTGAAGCAGTACAAGTAGCATTGTGTGTGTGTAGCAGAATGCTAATTTATCGTCACGAACATCTGTTGTTGTTGATCCATGTAGTCTAGATTCTATGGTCGGTGAAATACTAAAATTTAGATCGTTCTTCTCCAGCATCGCTATATCTTTCTTCAACTTGGCCAGCAGTTCTCCGGGACTAGAAATAATGCATCGTACACGAGACGCATCTTCATAATATTGTGCTTCAGTCAAATAAATGTAGAAAACACAAGGTAAAGTGGAAAAAATATCCACTAGATGACATTGATGCTTGCCAAGAATCAGAAGACACTTTTCTTGATGAATTGATAATATAAATTCGACGCATTCGTCTGGATCAAAGAAAAATGCAATATTATTATCAAATCCTTCTACAGCACTTGTATGTTGATGAAAAGAATCTTCTTCCTCCTTGGTTGATATCAACGCGCAAACATCTACTTCCGAATGGTTCATTGAATTTTGTTTGTAAACAAACGTGCACCAGTGTTGTAGTTGAGAGACTGAAATTAAATGCCATTTATTTTGTTGGAATAAATAGAGCAGCTGCCAATCTGAAACTTATTTTTATTAGAAGGAAAGAAATAAAATTATGATGCAGGTAGACGAAAGATGTCAGCATAGATGGCTTATGAATATGCATCGCACGTAAAAAATAGTTGTGTAGATGCAGACCGCGGATCGCAAAAACATTCGTTCACTTAAATGAAAATCTGCCGAACATCATGCAGGTGTCGGTTATTGATGGGTGTAGTGGCAGCGGTAAGAAGCATTCCATCTTCTGCTGGATAGTAGGAATGCTTACGAATATCGTTAGTAGTTTCACACTCTATGGTAAAGGCTGCTCTTTCACCAGTGTTTACTAAAAATTATTCCAATTTTAAAATATCTATTGATTTAATGCATGAAGAAAAGCCCCACCAAACGACGGTTTTCTTTTTTGATATTCTCTACTTAAGTTCAATTCAACACCTTGAAAGACGATTACGTGTCTTGAAGGAAGATGAGTGAGTGCCGTGAAAAGTTTCAAGTACAAAAACCATGGTTTCAGTGAGTTTCTTTGTTTTCAGTGTAAAGCAATATTCGGGATTCCCGCTCTTCGCCAATAAGACTTTCGCCAATAATTGGCGAAATTCCGGGGTTGTATTGGCGAAAGTCTACTGAACTTTCGCCAATTGGCGACTGTCCAAGGGGTGTATTGGCGAAAGTACACTCAACTTTCGCCAATATTGGCGAGAGTTCAATGGACGTTCATTAACTTGGGGTATGTGTAAATATTACCAGATCAGTTTTTAGTCATAAGATGGTGGGGCAGAAAAGAAATAGTAGATAATATAAAGTCAATAGATGTATGAATAAGAAAAGAAAGAAAAGATGATGTGACAAAATGTGAAACTAAGATAAATAAAAAACATTTAGTCGCAGTTTGATGATAAAATTGATGATGAGTCTGATGTTGAAACATTATTTTTCTTTTTTTTCTCTTTTTTGCCTCGACAAACAGGTTCACCAACAAGATAAGCAAGAGACATAACTGTGTCAATCACAGATCTTCTCTTCGAATGCAATAAGTTTGTTAGCTTTTCAATTTGGTTACTTTTACGTGCTGCTGCACGTGTTGACTTCGTTGATTTAATAGTTGAAAAACCTAATCCTGTCTGAACCATCCTAAGCGACATCACACTTTCTTCCTGTTTTAAACATTGAAGAAATCGCCAGAGGTTTGGGTGCGGCTGTACAACACGAGAAAAAAACCGTTTATTTTGTGCTAAAACATATGAACAATAAAATATAGACGGCTATTTAAAAACATTCCTATCGAAATGATTATAAAGAATTCGTTTACCTTCGGCGAAGTTATTCGTTCGCCATGTACTCTTGTTAACACACCACATCGAAGGTTTAAAATGGTCAATCCATTCCTTTTGAAAATACAACACAAATTTTTCTAATTGATTTCCTTGAGATGAATTTGCTACCTTCTGTTTTAGAACTTCATATGCTTCGTGTATAACATATGCAGGCAAAAGTGCTAAAGCCATAAAAGCACGTAAAACTTGACGTGATTCTGTATGAGTTTCATAAATCTTCATCAAACCTAACTCTTGTATATTTCGATAACAAGATTGACAAAAATGAAACCAACAGCCTGTTACATTTGTTTCTGGTAACTAAATTACAAAGACAAGAGAACACTTTTTTTATGATGTGTATGAACTGAGAAAAGTCTGCATGCTTCTTTTGCAACAGCATTCACAAATGCTTTCTCGAAATCGCAAATTATCGTTTTTGGTTTTAGTTCAATACCTTTTTCAGATCCTATTCTTTTGAAACATCGAAAAATGGCTTCATAGGTTTCGTGCCGTCTATTTGATGTTAAAATAAAACAGACTGGCACAGCTAAAATGATAAGAAAAGTGTATAAAAAAAGACGTTTAACCTCAATATTAAGTAGTACAACATTATTTAACAATGGACGACGATCGACGACGATACTTATTCGTCCGTCGTGTTCTCTGTATCGACTACTTCGCCAATGGTGTACGATGTTTTTCTCTCTTTCATTTTTTTTCCTTTTCTCTCTTACGTATATATACGAAGTTGATTAGAAAAGAAAAGATACATACCCTCTCCATGTTGTATTCCAAGTAGAACGTATAATTGATCAAATAATTTTGGCGATACTTTAAATGTTCCGTCAGCAAAGATTGTTTCAGAATTAAATAGAACATTTAATTGTTCTTCAGATGCATGCATTATTAAACGACCTCCATAAGCACTTTTTCGTTTGTCATATATTAGAAAACGTTCCTTACAATACGTCTCCTGATAAATTGACGGCATAATAAATTTTTGATCACGTGGTAATGGTGGTAAAGCTTTACGACGTAATTTATGTAGACCAGATTCTGAGAATAAAGAAGAATTATGAAGAAAATTTGATACTAACGATAGTCAGTTAGTTTTATTTACCAATCTGTGATGGAAGAGGCATGCTTCGTTTTTCTTCTGATGATAACTTCGCTTTTCTGTACTCCTCTTCAATAATGACTTTAATGGAAATAAATTCGTCAAGAACTCGATTTTTAATTTTAGTCAAAATTTCACGTTTACGTGTTTCATTCGAATCAAATGTATGAGAATGACACATTCGATTCCAGTGGCTAAATTCACCTGTTGTTTTGAATGTATAAATAACTGCTTTACAGTTCTCGCTTCTTCTGGCGCAATGCCAACCAATTGTTTCTTTTGTTATACTCATGTACAAGTAACCACATCCATTCATAAATACCATTTTACCACCTCGATTTGACTTGCCTATTGTTATATCTCCTTTGATCACTGGTATGTTCATAAAATCATTTGCATCACCAGCATATATGTCATTCTCATCATCGTTCGATGATTCCAAAGACACTATAGAATAATCATTTTTCTTTTTTCTTACTGGTGATTCATTTTTAACAGTTGTTGATGTTGATCGACAGGATGATGATGATAATATTACTAGTTCATTAGCAGATACATTTTCAAGTGATACATCAATTTCTGTTTTCGGATGCTTGTCCTCAGTCTCAATACGATTACTAATTTCAAGTGCAGATGCAGTTATTGAAACTGATGAATGTGTTTGCGTTGTAGAACATATTTCGGGTATATTACAAGTCGTATTAAGATGTGCTTTACCTCGTTTCTTCTTTTGTTGTGATAGACATTTTCGAGATGTGCTATTATTGGATGTTGTAGCTGTTGTTGTTTGATCAGGAGTTGGTGTTGCATCATCTTTAGTTTGGGATCGTAATGCTGCAGCACGAGTTGTGACAGGCATTTGTTGAACAATAATTATCTGAAAAGTTCTAAATCATAAAATATGAGAGTCAAATATTCTACTAAAAATTGATGTAATCGTGTATTTAAGATGTTGTACAATAAACTAATTAATTCACCCTGTGAATTTGAGTCACTTGATAACAATTACTCTAATGAAATCTAAAACTATAAATAAAACTTATGATTATGACATAGATGAATGAAATCTATGAATACATTTGATACCAATCTTTCTAATCAATGCTGCAGCTAATTTACAATTGGTGAGATTTTCGATGGACTTTCGCCAATATTCTCAAAATGTTATGTGTACATTGGCGAAAGTTCAGTGGACTTTCGCCAATTGACGAAAGTACAGAGGGTATACTGGCGAAAGTGTTGTGGACTTTCACCATTGGCGAAAATCCGGTTTTCGAAAATCTTATTGGCGAAGGGCGGTATAGTCCATTATCTAGATGAACCAATAGGAAATAAGGGCCATACAAATTGTCACTGGCAATATTTATTTAAATGATGTGTTGAACACTTATCAGGAGTTTTTTGAATTTTTTTAGAAGAATCTTCAATTTTTTGAAAAATATAGGAATATAGGAAAAAAGCTCAAAATATAGGAAATACAGGATATATAGGACTGCTGCGAAGCCAGGTCACTTGTTTACTATTTGAATGATTTTTTTTCGTGTGCTTCTAAGATTTACATTTACAAGTACGCTTTTCCCCCGGCACTATGTCAATTCGTCGACACTCAATTCGTCGCTCAATGAATTCGTCGCATTCATTTCGTCGCATGTTTCTTTTAATTGATTGTTTGTATGCGTGTTACATTTTGTAAAAATAAATAATTTCTCAAGAAATTTTAATTCTAATTTTTTATTGATGATTTCTAGCGGATTAATAAAAAGCAGATTTTGTTCTATTTTATTATGAATAGGATTATTTTAAACAGTAAACTAAATAAATTAGATTTGAAAAAAAAAATGAAACACAGTCTATCTAAGTCAAAGCTCATTAAGAATCAACTAATTAAGTCAGATATATATAAAAAATTGCTCGTTTGATAAGGGTATCACTCATAACTCATCAATTGAACTCATTTCATGTCTTCTATTCAAAAGCTGTTATCAGAGAAAGGAAAACCTATGGTTTGTTACCTGGGTTACATATATACCAAGGAAAAATCTACAGAAACAAAAATAATTTTTCGTTGTCAAAACAGATGCTGCAAAGGTAAACAAAATATAAAAATCAAGAAAATAACATTAACTATTGTTTCTAGCTCGATGCCATACGAATCCGTCTATGGATAGTTTTCTCTCCCAACCTACGGATCATAATCACGCACCTAATCCTGAACGCATTCCAGTTATCGAACTGAATAATAAAATCAAAGCCAGAGCCGTCATATCCGAAGAATCAGCAAGTACCATCCTGCATTCATCCTTACGAACGTTTCCGCTGAGCGCAGCTAGTGAACTACCTCGTACTGAAATGCTCATGCAAACGATTCGAAGACAACGCCAGACACCAATAACAACATCTACTGATCAATTGTCTGGCGATTTGAGAAAAACTTATCGTGGTGAAGAATTTCTCTTGCATGAAGAAGAGCACATGATTATTTTCACCACGAAAAGTAATTTAACAGCGCTGAAGCAATCAAAACATTGGTTTGCTGATGGAACGTTTAAAGTATGTGACTAATTGATTCTTTGACAACCAATTAATGTCTCTCTTTAGGTATGTCCTAATGACTTCTATCAGCTATTTACACTTCATGCGCTGATGACGTCAGCAATCATCCCCCTTGTGTATGGTCTCTTGATTGGAAAAAGCTCGAACGACTACAGCGGCTTTTTCAAAAAAGTGCTGGATCAGGACGACTTTCGACCTGAAACAATCCTGAGTGACTTCGAGTCTGGTACAATCAAGACCATTAAAGAAATGTTGCCAAACACTACTCACAAAGGTAATCAGAAAAAAAATCTAATTGAACTGCACTAGTTATGTTTCTCTTATAGGTTGTCTCTTTCACTTTGGTCAATGTGTTTGGCGCCAAGTTCAAAGCAAGGGGGTATCAACGAAATATCAGGAAGATGAAAATTTTCGACTAAACGTCAAAATGTTAATTGGTCTGGCTTTTCTTCCTCTGTCGGATGTGATTACTGGCTTTGATCTTGTAGCAGGTGAATTCAACGACGATGACGCTGATGACCTCCTTGATTATTTTGAGAGAACATGGATTGGTGAACCAAAAAGAAGAGGTAAGAAATTTATTGCAATTAACTTTTCTAAATATGCTGCTTTTAAGGGGTGGGTCGTAAAAAGCCTCAATTCGACATTCCATTATGGAACGTTTACGATCGCGTCATGGCTAATTTACCTCGGTCCAACAACTCTGTTGAAGGATGGCACAATGCTTTCGCAAATCGCGTTACCGTCGCTCATCCAACAATACAGAAACTGGCCGAGAAAATTCGTTGTGAACAATCGAAGTTTGAGGTCGATATTGCTCACCTTCTTCAAGGTCATCAGCCGAAGTCGAAGAAAACCTGCCACAGAAAGCTCGATGAAAGAATTGCACGCTTGGTTCGTGATTATGATCCTTTGCGAATCTCTCAATATCTGAAAAGTATTGCTGTTAATGTTTCTTTGTAATTATTTTTTCTGTTACTTACATAATTGTTTTTTTTTCTTGTAATAAACGTGTAATCTCATTACGTGCATCTTTAATTAACAGAAGAGAGAGAAAGAGAAAAAAAGACGATGCATTCAACGCGACGAAATGAATGCGACGAATTCAGTGAGCGACGAATTGAGCGACGACGAAAAGAACGCGACAAATTGAGCGCGACGAATTGAGTGTCGACGAATTGATCGGTCACCCAAGATGTGCCTACTTTTCATTATCTATTATATGATTTCATGTGATATATCGACTTTTATTTTGATGTCTATTAAAGTGTCGCCCCTAGTGCTTAATTGTCAACAACTGTTCACACATGACTTTGATAGTTTTTCCAAAATATTAGACATTAGAAATTAAGATATGAAAATTCACTTGGTACGGGAATAATATTTTTTAATGAATCAAAGTCGGCGGTTGGTCATATGCTTTATTTAGAGTCAGCACTATGTGCATAAATAAGGATTCGAAATCCATAGTATACACTGATCACTGCCCTTTTATGCTTAACATTACATGCAACACAAATTATGTCCTTTTATCAAATTATCCAAAACTACTACAAATCTTTCGCAAACAGCGAAGTAATCCAATGTATGACATTTAAAAGTATGATTATCATATTAGATAAAAAAAAGAAAGATTGCATGCTGGTATCTATAGTGATTTATGTTATGACGATTTTCAGTTTTTATCTTGACGCTTAAAATCGTTCAGAATGACTTCGAACAAGTAAAATATACTTCTAACAGTTATTTCTGACTATTTTCAATTATTAAAAATCTTAAGAGGCTGCATGGTTGCGCTTCCTGAATAAACGACGTTAACATGTACTTGTTAGAATAGACATGTATTTAATAATTACAACTCTTACTGTGAGTAAATTTCGAATGGGATTAAAATAAATTTAATCTATAAATCTTTCGTGGCAATATCCGACATTCACAATCGAAATATTCAGCTGAACAAAATTAAATCAAGGTAAATAATTTAAATGTACTTTCGCATTAAGACTATATCTATCATATTCTTCGAATATCTTCATCGAGAGACTTCAGCAGTAAATGATTTTATAAATTTGTTCATTTGTCCGTAAGAACTTTTATGTTCGATAGAATCTCTGTAACTATTTAACCTAACGTGCAAGGGTCTTTTCATTGAAATATGAGCGTAGATGAAAGTGCGACTTTGTAGTTAGTGGTGACGATATACATGTTGAATTTTCCTCCTAACCACAAAAACATTTAAAATTCTCGAGATTGTCACATTGAAATATTTCGACAGTTTTACTTTCGACATTAGTACGTGCTAGCATGAATAGGGTGAATTAACTACCAAAATGTGATTACAGAATGATAAGAAAAGACAACGTTTGCCAACTTCTATACAATTACTATATAGTAAACTGCTCACTAAGATGCACAACACAATGTTAACACTATTCAACAGTATTTTGCTGTCATATTGTGAGAAGAATTTAGTTTACTTCGATAAAAATGTGAAATATTATACGTACGAAGTTGAAATTCGATTCTTTTGTTTGTTTCATTCGATTACAGAGGATTATGAAACAAAATTAGATGAACATTCTATCTTCTTCTCTTTCTATGGAAGAAGACTTATAGACTGTGTCCGCTGCTGTGTAAACAAACAATGCTAATCTTGTATCTGTTTGTATTCAACAATAAAGGGACAAACAGAGATGATAATCGAGTAACTAAAAAATTGTACACAACATTCTTATTCAATCTAATTTTCAATATGAAACAGCATTCTGCTCAAGAAAACTCTTTTACTTGAACTTGAACGAGAAAAAAATTGATGAATAAATTTCCCAGGATATTTATACTAATTAACCTAACTGTCAATAAGTTGAATTCACTCTGGGTAGTTAATTGTTCAAAAATTCACATTTCTGAAAACGTACACTGATTGAAAAAGTGAACAATAAATAAGTTTTTCAATTTTTGTTTGTCGAGTTTTAAGTATTTTTCACTCAACGTGGTGTTTTTACGTATCTGTGGATGTTGACTGTCTCTTTATGGATACTGAAAATCACATAATATCACACTCGCGCCCTCACTAAATCAAGCAATATCGAATGCTCCTAAATAAGGTTTTGTTTCATCTTTCAGGCATTTGCTAAACTTTTTTCATATTTTATCTAAACTCTACTGATATAGCTCGCTGATAAAAACACAGAGCACGCATATCACTATTCATCATAGCTTTTTTTATTCTTACTTTCTAGTTAGGATGGTTAAAAAAATTCTCATAACTGGAGCATCTGGTCTGGTAGCTGGTATCCTAATAAATCATCTGTCAAAAAATCCCAACTATGTTATTTATGGTATGGATAAACATGTTGGACTGTCGATGCGTTATACGCTTGAAAATACACCAATAGCCGAAGGTCAGCAACCAATACTACCAACAAAAGAAAAGTTTTATGTATGCGATATCACTGATGGATATCAAATTTCGCAAATTATTCAAGATAATCAAATTAATATTATTATTCATTTGGCGTCACTTCTAGAAACAGAATCAATTGAAAAAATCAATCATATTAATTGTCAGGGTACCGAAATTCTATTTGATGCAGCAATTAGACAAGAACATGTTGAAATGATTATATATGCTAGTTCGGTCATGACTGTTTTTGGATACTTAGAAAGTGAACCTTATTCATCATTGGCAAAAAATATTCAACCAAAACAGCCGTTAAAAAAAATAACAATCAAAGATATCCCAATACCATCACACTTCAATCCATCGTTTGAAGCATACTGTAACAGTAAAATATTCTGTGAAGAATTATCAAAAAAACATTCATCAGGTGCAACTACAAATGTTAAATTTATTTGTGCAAGACTTGGCTGGATAAACACTACTGATGACATAAACTGTGATTTGTATGATTGGTCTGATAAGTCGATATGGTGTAGTCATCGAGATTTATGTCAATTTATTGATCGAGTATTAGAAAATCAATATATATTGAGAAAGTTTGAAATTTATTTTGTTTCTTCAAATAATGATTATTGTTGGGTTGATATGGATAATAGTCGCGAAGACTTGAATTTTGTGCCACAGGATGGTGCTAAATGGAAAAACACATGAAGAAAATACTACTGCGCATGCAATTTATCCTTTTACTGTACTTTATTGTACGAGATTTTTTTAAAAGCTCTACGTAGATTGCTGTCAAAAATTGCAGGTTACTTGAAACGTGAAATCATAAAATGGGAAAGATTTTCGTATAAATTAAAATACAATCGAACTAGAATCCTAAGCAGTTTTCAATTGGTTTTTATCTGAATTTTGTGAAAATTTCAAAAATTCTTCCTCTGAACCCAAATAGAATTATGATCATATTCCTTAGTGCTTAATTCGTTTATTTTGCGAAATATGTCAAGGTTTTCTAAATAACACATAGGAACAATGCACATACTGTGCACCAATCTCTACATGTTTGATTTACTTATCGATTAGATTAGGCATGCACCAAAACCAAACCTTTTGGTTTTGATGGTTTTGGTTTTGATATGGTTTTGGTTTTGAGGTTTTGGTTTTGACAATGGTTTTGGTTTTGAAGTTTTGGTTTTGAAAACGGTTTTGGTTTTGAGGTTTTGGTTTTGAAAATGGTTTTGGTTTCGAAGTTTTGGTGATATGGTTTTGGGTTTTGGTTTTGGCAATGGTTTTGGTTTCGAAGTTTTGGTTTTGACCCAAAACCAAAACTGTGCTAAAGTTAAAGCCGTCTAAAATTTCGACAGTTTTGACTCTTGTTAGTCATGATAAGATCAGTATATCATAGAAAGTTGTTCGTCCATTTGTCTCTCTCCGAACAGTTCAGAATTGGGTGTCTGCTTTTCGTGCATGAAGCGAGTTTTTATCGCTTTTCTCATATTTACTACGATTCACACGATTGAATGAACCAGATCAGAACTCAGTTCTCTTGTAGACCCTATCGGTCAGTCGAAAATAGATGGAAGTCAATCTATTCTCAGAAAGATGTCTCTCAATACGTATTATCATACGAGGAGTTCGAACCCGAATATAACCTCTCCAAAAGTGGTAATTTCTCGATTAGCCAACAGCTGCTATATTCATTTCTCCGGCAAGAATGTTAGATTCCTGTTTCATGGAGTGTATCTTGCAGAGATTTCGATATATATTGGTTCTTCGCCAACTAGTAGAACACCGGATTGATTGATTTCAGATTTGAATCAATCAACCTTGGAGATCTTAGTAAATCGTGAGAAATTCTATACCACACGTTTCACGCACAATAGACAGGTGTTTAGTTTTGGACCATTAATCTCTTAGATAACAATCTTTTCTTTTCGTTCTATAGGGCTAGAACACATTGTCTCCAGTCTGAAGACAGCAGCAGTAATCGAGAACTTGAGAGTACGGCAAGCAGACGAACAAATTTCCCTGATATACTCATCCATTCATGGCTGAGCAAAGGTTAACACCCAAACGGTTGAAAATTCTGAGAGTTTTAGTTTTAAAATATGGTTTTGGTTTTGGGTCAAAACCAAAACCATTGCCAAAACCAAAACTTCAAAACCAGTTTTGGTTTTGGTGCATGCCTAGATTAGATTATCGAGCTGAATTTTGCCAGGTCATGATATATAACTTCAACGTTCAATATCTTATTTTTTGACTCTCATGTTAGCTACGATTTGAGCCTTATGCAACTACAAATTGTTGCGAAATACTTCTGAAAATGGTATGATTTTATATACCTGTAAGAATTGGTAAAATTTTGCAGTGTTTTTATTATTTTCAATTTTCTTGACGTACAATGAAACTAGCAAGCAGCTTGTGTTGAAAGATTGCCTATTCAATAAACTATCTCTTCACTTAAAAGCCAGATACAATGATGGAAATATAATTATTAATGTTTTAATTTAACAAATTTTCGATTTCCGTTTCTCTATGAAATTCATGATGTTCCGTAGACTTATCGTTTACTGTGTTCAATCACTGTTCCGATTAGTCTTTTTCTACACGGATCGGTCTTATGCTAGTTGTAGCAGGCCGTGTCTCCTGCAGCCACTCGTCACATGAACGACCTCTTCGGGGTTTTCCTTCCATTTTCGCGAATACTATACGCTTGATTAGCCCATTATCGTTTACTCTGCAGATGTGACCTGTATAGTATTACATAAATGTTGCTGTAATGTTTTTAGAACAGTTTTATTCAATTGTACCTATAAATAAATTGTGGTTAGCATAAAAATAATAGTAAAACATTTATATCCTAGAATTCGGTTACGTTTCGAACAAGAGCAAACTGAGATCTTTCAAATTTCTGTTGCTTATATTGGTTAAGATTTTGTTTAGGAGAGATTTTTAACGGATTTCGACTCGAGCTGTGCTCACCACGACCCCAAATTGTTCTATTCTTTCTTGTTAGGCTTCTGTCTAGGATTCGGAAAATAAAATTTGGAAGTGTCTAAACATAAATTTTAGAAGGTTGGAACTAGATTAGAGTATATTCTCATCATACTCTTATTCTTTATAAGATTCAATATTCATGCTCCCAAGTACTTTCATGCAGTCTTGACAGAAACTTGAAAACATTTTTTTCATATGAAGAAATCGACTACTACTGCTTTGTTTCTTTTAAGATCATTTGGCGATATAAATGGCGCACTTTACTGGATCCTCCTATCACGACCGACAACTGACCATTGGTGAAATAGAATCATAGCTTGGTAAAATCCTCTCAAAGATGCTTCTCAGAATGCTAAAATATCCTTTTTAGGATTTGTCGAGATACAAATAGAACTGAAAAGTTTAGATGCTAATCTACAAAGATTTTTGCTAATTTCGTATAATCATTTTTATTAAAATTTCCATTGGTATTGAGATTTTATTGTAATGCCTAAAAACGTATTATCTTGATTAGCTAGCTAAAATTTTGGTCTGAAGCAACTTTCGATCCTAACAGAAGCCTGACATGAACACTTGACTCAGATCTCGATGTAAACAGTATAAAATTTTAGTGCAATCATTTTTCATGATTCTGTCATTATTATTGATAAAATCTATGGTAAGTTCTACTAGAATCCTATTTGATCAAAACCTTTAAAACTATGAAAAGTTGCTATAGCCGAGATCGCTATGATTTGAAATAGGATTCTGAATAGAAATTGATGAGATTCTAAAGATTAAGAACAGTTAGGGATTTTTCGGTAATAACCAGAATCTTGGAGGGTAAGTTCTTTTACATTCTCCGAAAGTTGAAAAACAGGGGGCAGTCCTGTAGTTATTTGAAAAAAATATGCTATGAAAACAACTAGCTATAATATGTTTCAGGTTCTCTAGAAACATAATGAAAATGTGTGCCTATATACTTCTGATTACGGCATCATCAACATTAAAACAGTGTACTATTTAGAAACAGAAAACTTAAGATGAAGGATATATTTGAGACATGTTAGACCATATGAGTCTATGAGTAAGACATGCAGAATTGCAAGCTCCATATATATTTTATCGAGGTAATGATATGTGATTGTGTATTCAAAACAAATATGTGAATTAGCAGTCTGAAGACAAACGATGAATAATTCAATATACGAAAAATCTGTCTCTAACACATTTCTGTGCTGAAGAACTTGACTCTTTAACTACCCTAGTAAAACTACTCGTCAAGCGAGTATGACCTGCCAGCATGAGTACACAAAAGACTCGTTGGAGTACTCGTGAAATTTTCCGTGTATCTTCAATGTTCGTGTACTCAAGTGAGGTCTCGCATAAGTTAACTTTCTGAAATTCACTCGTACACGATAATTTGAGTACGCAAAGTAGTACTCGTTTCTGTGTTTCGACAAAACACCAATGTATTAACATGTAAAAAGTTAAATAACATTATATAAAAACAAAAAGTAATGAAATTAATTAAAAAATATTAACGAAATATTTTGTGGATATAATGATTTTATCCGTCAGTTTTAATAGATGATTCATTTTTGTCCATACAGCGATTGGATATATCAAAGCAGCTATATTTCACTTTGTGAACAGGAAGACAGACAGACACTTATCATTATTAACTGCTAGTTTTTCGAATAAAACTAAGTATCTATTTTCAATGTAACAATAATTTGATAACTTTTGATTTCTTTATTTCAGATTAAATTTATTTCAGATTACTTAATCTTTTTTTCTGGTTACTAAATAGCATCAATGATTCAATATCATGAAGTTTCCTTCTTTTTTGCATAAGGATCGCTTTAACATAAATTTGTTTTCATACACGAATCGAATCAAAAATTCATTCAATAATTTTTAAGTTAACTATTCGTGCTACTGAATATACTGTATCGTAACAAATTTTAGCATTCTTTTTTCTATAGTTTTTTGTATCTGTGAATTCATAGTGATCAAGTATCTTTTTCGAAAACATTGAGAATTCATTTGTCTTCAATAATATTTTATTATCTTCAATATGTGTGTTAAGTGTTGTTTTTTGAAACATAATATTTATTTGTGTAATTTATAGACAATAAAATAATGAAGTATCTTAGTATCCAGTAGAAAGTTTTATTCTTAATAATAATTTTTAAAGAAACTTTCATAGCTAAAAGACTTCACAGGGAGAAAACCGCAACCTTGTTTCTTACAATTAAAAAATTTAATGTCATATCGAAGCCATTATTGCTTCGTCAAATATTTCCAGAGCAACATCAACGTTTTCTTGAGTTATAATCAATGGTGGTGCCCATCGAATAACACTTATACCTCCACCACCAAATATGAGTAGACCTCGATTGTAGCAAGCTATTTCGATTTTATCACGTAATTCTGGTGCCGGTTCCATGTTCTTTTTTGATTCAACTATTTCTACTCCGACCATTAAACCAATACCTCGGACATCGCCGATACAATCGTATTTGTCTTGTAATTTTAGTAATCCTGCTTTTAAATAGTCACCAATAATTCGTGCATTTTCCGTAAGGCCATTTTCCAATAGCTCAATTGTTTTTAGTGATGCTGCAATACACACTGGGTTTCCACTGAATGTTGATGCATGTGATCCCCGTGGCCAATTCATCACGTCTGCACGAGCTACACAAACTCCAATAGGCAAACCTGAACCGATTCCTTTCGATGAGCAAATTATATCGGGTTCGACACCATAATGCTCGACAGCAAACATTTTTCCTGTTCGCCCCATTCCACTGTGAACTTCATCAAGAATTAAAAGAATACCATTCTCGTCACATATACGCCGAAGTTCTTTTAAAAAGTTAGGTGGTGCCGGAAAATAACCACCTTCACCTTGTACAGCTTCAACAAAAATTCCAGCAACATCTTCAGCTGGTGTTGTTGTTTTAAAAATGATGTTTTCAATCCAATTAATTGTTGCTTTTGATGCACTTTCATCATCGATTACGTTAGCAAACGGTGAACGAAGTTTTTTCGGATACGGGACATGTACAACATCTAATACTTGACGCATATAGCCAACTTGATGAATTTTTTTCGATGCTGTCAATGAAAGTGTACCCATACTTCGACCATGAAAGGAACCAATAAACGAAATGAATTTTTGTCGTTTCGTATGATACATAGCAAGTTTTATTGCGGCTTCGACTGCTTCAGCTCCTGAAGTAGCAAAATATGTTTTTGTTGGTGCTTTAATGGGCACTAATTCATCAAGCTTCTTAGCCAATTGAGATAACACACGATAGTAGTAAGTTGTTGAACACATATGAATCAATGTTTGCGATTGTTTTATAATTGCTTCGACAACTTCAGGATGACAATGTCCCGTTGAACAAACAGCAAAGCCTGAATTACAATCCAAAAAAGTGTTCCCATCAGTATCTTCAATCCAAACACCATAAGCTCTCTCAACAACAAGCTTATATGGATAGCGACTAAATGATGGCGTTACATATGCTGTATCTTCTTCGATTATTTCTTTTGATTTGGGGCCTGGCAGGACGGTTTTTATTATTGGTCGCTGCATCATAACACTTTGTCTTGCATGACAATATTACTATCAGAAAAAAATGCAATGAAATGGTGTTTATTTTTCTACCCATACTCGTTTATATAAAATTTAAAAACCAGCACAATCATTATCATTGTTGTGTAAATGTTTCTTATCAAAAGTTTACATTGCATGAGTGCGACTTCATCAAGCCATAGAACATACCTCCTGAAGATATTTATTAAAGTTGATCTTTCATGTTTAGTTTCAAAGGGCACAATATTTAAATACACTAAATAACATATTAGAGATTGTTTGGTTTACAAGAAGATGCAGCACAAAAGTGAACTATTCATACTTGATCATCTCAAATCGACCCTATGTAAAAGTAATTTTCTATTTTCTCTGCAATTAGAACAAAAGACTCGACATACAAATTCTTACACGAGCTGAAATTCAACAAGAGAGGTCATTCAATTATAATAATAAAAAGTAACTTTTAGCTTTGGATACCCTCAGAAACTTCAGTGTTGATATTTGAATCAAATATTCATAAATATTGTGTCTTTGATAAAGTTTCGAAAACAGAAGGGACTATTATAGGGAAGTATGATCGAGAACCATCATGCATGTAATCTTTTTTTAATGTTTCTATCTTTTAGGCGACTAACTGATGTTTAGGTAGAAATTCTATGTCAGAGTTCTATACAATGTGGAAGAATATTTCATGTGTGAGAATATCTATCAAATACTTCAACAATTAATTTACAGGATTAATAGCCTTCATAGTGCATCTGTACATATAACTTCATACTGTCTATTGTTTAACAATTGATAAATTTCGATGAAATCTATTGAATAAGATTCAATATCGATAGTTTAAATAGAAGAGCACATTATTCAGTCAAAATACTAGAGGGAAATGTCAATCTAATCGATAGTCAGTACATGAAATAAAAGTAAGCTGAGAAGTCTCTTATGTCAGTCTACATATAAAGTGTGGTCCCAAAACTTCGCTATTTCATCAAAATTTTATTTTTCTCATTCATCGTATATAAAAAATAAGTTCAAAGTTGGACATATAGTGACGAGCAATAAAGTGCAAATTTTTCGTGAAGTTTCAAAGATCTGATCCTATTAATGCACAACAATACATGAATATAACTTCAAGAAAACATTCGCCTTGCCGGGAATCAATCAAATTCAAACCTCAAAGGTATATGCATCTACTCGATGTTCTCAATAGGAGAATCGCTGTTTAGACAAACTTTATTGATATCAAAGTATGCTGTCTGATATACTACTCGTCAAGAGATTATGAAAAACGAGTACATGTCTTTCGTATATCCTTTCATAATTTACGATAGGCCAGTCTCTATTGATCATCAAATAGTTGCATTGACTCAAGAAATAGAGTCATAAAAATAACTCTCATTCCTGAATGGCAAAACATTTATCAGAGAGTCAGACGTTTTTTAAGTAGCGCATTATAGCCAGAACATTTTGGCAATAGCAGTAGAATTTCGTCGTAGAAATTTCGAAATATTCACAGTATTTAGCGAACAGGTATGTAAGGTCACCAATATTATTGTTAGAATTGAGCTTGGGCGCTAGTGTTTTACGTACGTCAAGTTTCAATTATGTATTATCTAGCTTCTAAAACGACTATTGACAAAAATTTACAGTTCATCAACTAATTTTGGACCATATTGCCATGTTACAAAAACAGAAACAACTGATGAGACTAAGTAGAGCTCAAAGATATAACATTATTTACTTCTATATAGCACGTGTCTCATTGGCTTGGATGTTTTCACAACACTTCGACATTTTTAGATCGACTTCCAATTGAATTACTAAAGATAGGTGTTATCTATAATTTGAACAATCTAGTTTTAGTCTTCCAAAAATTAGCCAAAGTGTTTCAAAATAATTGTGGGTGTTTCTTGATTGATAGTAGAGAAAATTTAATCAAATATCAATGAGACCTGTTACTAGTCGGAAGGAATACTGCTTTTACAGTGTGACTAAAATTTCTCTCAAACTCGGCATAATCTCCATTCTTAGGTCTTATCGAAGATTGAATGGTCGTTGCTTTATTAGCAAAAGAGCATGGCAAAAAATAAACAAAATTACTAGTAAAAATTGCATAGATATAACTTTTCTTACTATTTTTCATGTCACATTTCATAAACACCACAAGGAATTACTTGCATTAAGCGACAAAGGTCTTGTTTTTGATCTTTTCATTTTCTATAACCTAGTATAGCAGATTGATATTTCAATTTGTTCAAACATAATATTAAAGTTTAAACAAGATGTTTTATTGGGTAGTAAAATTTTAAAAAATTACAAGATTTTTGAATGCCCATTAGTTCTTACTGTAGATGAGAGGATCAGATAGAAAAGGAAAGTTATTTTAGACTAAAATATTGCTTTACTTAACTCTCATTTTGATACTGTATCGCAAGTTGAGATGTATCCGCAACACATGTTGGTACTTATTAAATTTATTAAATATTTTCAAGTAATCTATTCAAGGACTTTCTTTTCTGCTATTTGCAAACAACGGGATAATATCAAAAAGAAGCATTGAATTACAGATTTTAGTGTCGCCAAGAGAACAATATCATGAAAAGCTACACTGAAGGAAAAATTAAGTATTATGCTATCACAGTAGATATGAAATGTCCACGAAATTGGATTTGATCATTTGCATAACATAAACTAATAATGAGAAATGCATGCGGCAGAAGTGCCTGCTAATTAATTGCAAGGCAAACGTCATCAGTAACACTTTATTATAGTGAAAAATACGCAGATCAAACGACTTTATATCATCTTTGTAGTTGTGTGTTATTTTTTCTGCAGGCTATAAGTAAAGCAAAATGAATGTAGGAGATTTTTATTTGTCAATTGCTAATCATACTTTTTTTTCCTTTATTCAGGTTGTCACTACAGTGTCAATCAATGATATACCATTGATGAGTGTACTTGTATGTATGCAGTTAACGGTAGATAATAGAACGCAAGAGAGAGAGAGTGAGTTATTGATTTTTCTACCCACTTTAGCAAACGAATAGAGAGTATGCACGAGGTTATATTCTATTATCGCTTACTATTTTTCATCAGTAGAAAAGAAAAAAATATTATGTCTAGTATATGTTTCTTACCATTTTTTTTTCATTTGATTCTTTATTTATTCAGCAAACATGAAATTTAAAATGTAGCGAACCGGTAAGTTGGTTGATTTTGGTAAGTGAATTAAACAATATCAAAGATCATGGAGGTACAATGTTTTGACATGTTTATTTGTTCAATACATTAAACATTCATTTCATCTTTATTATTTAATTAATTCGGCTTGCCCAAGCGTAACGCTGTGACGTTTTGACAAATTGTTTTAAAACTGTCTCAAAAACTATGATAGCTGGAAAGTTTATTCAAACGCCATTCGATGCAGCTCGACGAGTTCTATATGTACTATAAATTCGATATTTTTTGCTTGAAATCTATAGTTTACAGAAATGATTTATAGTCAGGTAACACTGTGACGTAAAAGGCCCCTGAATTTCCAACGCTTTCACTTATCGTTTAATTCCCTGCGAACGATGATCTCCAATTAAAATAGGCCTGGAACTAACTTTGTAGAGCATGAAAAGAGCTTTTCAATGGTAAAAAAGTGTTTTCCTAGCTCTCATTATTCAAAGAAAAAATTTAAAAAAAAACGTAACACTGTGACATTTTTCGTAACGCTGTGACACCTTTTTTGTCGATCAATTTCGGGTCACTTAACTTACTCAGATCTATTTGATTTTTATAGCGCTTGGTCTTTTCTGTACATATAACCACTGTACAAAAATTCAAGTTCTTATGATGAAGCAGAAGCTCGTTATTAGTATGGGAAGTTGAAAACTCTACAACAATGTAAAAGTGGCCTCCGGGGGTGAAAGTTAAACATAAGCAGCTCATTTTGTAGAGGATAAAATTCTGCATCGAATGGTGTAATAATTAGCACTTTTCGAAAAAAATGTTACCTTAAAAAAAACAAAATACGATTTTTAAAAAGCTAAAAACATGATTTTGGTTGCAAAAAAGTGATTTAAAAAAAATAAAAATGATAAATTCGTAATCAGCGCAAAAAACTTCCGCAGCGAAGGTAACAGTTACGTGGACAAGCCGAATTAAAACACCTGTTATGTTCTGTAACGGGAACGCTGAAAAAAAATAAGTACTCTACGAAACTTAAAAAGGTTCCGAGATTTGCAACGAATTCGAAACCCTTTTGCGATGTCGTACGGAACCTTCAAAGTTCCGTATAGTCTCACGAAACCTGTGTCGGAGTCTCCGATATCTTTAAGGGTTTTGTGAGACTTTACGAAACCCTTGAAGAACCTCGAAGGTTCCGTATGATAAAGAAAAATGGTTTCGAATTCGTTGCAAATCTCGGAACCCTTTTAAGTTTCGTAGTGCTTATTTTTTTTTCAGTGAAGAGGCAGGCATGGGTTCTAATTCTCATTGTATATACTTCAACACAGTGATATATCTACTGTATGGGCAGGGTGGGTGGCGCCCACCAGAAAATAAACAGTTGATTTCATAAAAGTAACGGGTCGCCCATAAGGAATGGTGGTCTCATTATTCATTTAATATCTTTTTTGCTCTTCATTGATTTGAACTGAACATTTTCCCAAAAAAAAGAGCTTTCAATTCTCTACAAACTCGTGTGCAAAATATTTTTTAAAACTACAAAACGGCTAAGTACTAAAAGGAAGAAAACAGGTCGAAAAATCTTCAACTTTCAAGCTCAACATACATTAAGATTTGGAGTATGTTTCGACAATTTATACGCAGGCTTAAGTTACGGGAGAAACATTTTCTGGTATTTTCAAGTACGCTCTTTTCGATATATTTGGAAAACATTTCTTTAAAAGTGGTCTTCGCCTATTAAATCGATATTGTCTGAAAATTCGTCCATAACGCCTTAATTTCAGTTTACAAGAAAGTCTACTGCAAACGAAACTTTGAATCATTCGAACAAGTATACAGGGGTATAGTCGAGTATGTTGGCTTTCAAAGAAAAACAAAATCGTCAAAAAATAACACTTTAAGTGAATGGCATGCTTTTTAGTGCAAGCATCAAAAACATGACGCGACAGTTGTGTTTTTTTAGAAACAGCGAAAACATTTACGCAGAATCTTTTTCTTATTTGGTAATGAAAAAAATTCGAAGGCATGAATCTTGCCAGAATCTGATGCTCTTTAACATGGTAGCCTGGATTTTTCATAGATTCTCATATGGAATCAAAAACGATATTGAGTAAATAATGAGACCGCCATTCTTTATGGGCCACCCGTTACTATATGATAAGAAATTTTCTAGCCAGCAGCTCCTCCAAAAATGAAACCCAGATAAAACACTGGAGTACACTCTACATTCGGTGAGTGTGTCCGGCCGTTAACTCTTGAAAGCCTCATCCAATTGTCTTGAAGTTTTGTACACAGAATGATTTCCTCAATATCTCAGTAGAGTTCGAAGGTGAGAAAGATCCGTCAAGAAATGGCTGAGTTATCGAAAAAATTGTCATTATTGATCAGATCATCCCTGAGGGGGTACAGGGAGTTTTTCAAAAAATGTTTTTTTTCTCAGAATTAATCGTTTTCTGCTTATTCAGAGACATTATTTTGATCGTTAATCATATTTGCTTAGTCTTTGATTGCTAAATATTTTCTTATGAACAATATGCAATTAATATTTATGGATCTATTTTGCTTAATTTATTTCTCGACTTTAAATAATAGGAGTACATGTAGCTACAAACAAAAACTTGTGTTAAAGCGTAGTTCTAAGTGATTAATATGAAATAAATGAAAACGTATCTAGCTCACAACAAGCAAAATACAACATCGAAAAAAAACAGAAGAAAAAAAAATAGTATTTTCTTATATTTATATCGAGAATATTTTACGTGGATTGGGTATGTTTTTTAACGATTGTTACTTTTCTTCTCCTTGTTTTGTGACTAAAAGAAAATAAAAATAAAATCATTAGAAACAATAGTCATTATGAATATGAATAAAAAACGGTATACATTTTTAAGTAAAATAATAAGTATTCGAACGAATAAATCGACCATATCAATAAATAAAAGTAGTGCATGCCTAGAAAAGAAAATCAAAATAATTATTTGTTGATGTCGTATAGAAATCTGTGGAAGCAATTCTAGTCTTGGCCAACTGAAATTGAGTCCGAGTTTACATGATAATGAATGTCTAGCTCGCTCGATGTGAGAGTGAAAAACCAATATTTATGTACATAAACGATCGTAGATATTGGTGGAAAGAAAAACTCTATGTTTTTCACTACTCGCAGTCTTGTAAAGGCATGAACAAAGCAACTTTGCGTCCTATTTAAATACTTTTGTTGACTGTACTACCGGTATGAATTATACCGTGGTCACTTCAAAACAAAATTGTTGTTTTTCATGTTTGTATGTTACTTACTTAACATAATTCATATCTCCGTTATTAGCTCGTTCAACAATCAATTGTGTATCATATAAGATATATCCACAAGCAAGAGCCAAGCCAAGATATAGATTAATCTAAATGAAAAGTAAGAATAATTTCTATTATCATATCAAAAGTTTGCTTTTGTTAATTAATTTACATTGAAAATAAGTTGTGAACGTCCAAATAAATTCATCAAACTAAGTAAAAGCATAAATGATGTACCCGTACCCAGTAAACCTAAATTTATACATCAATATATGTATATAAAATAAATTTCATTCTTAGCCTTACCTCCGAGATATAAATAAGTTCGATTTTTTGTTAATAAGGCACTTAGCGAAAAACAAACAAATATGACTGTTGTAAGTAAAAATGCTGTCATAATAAGTTGTGGATCGACATTAATAGCCAAATTAATCAATGGACTTAAATAGATACCAGTAAATAAAGCTGTAGCAGACATTAATCCGAAACATTTCATTTGTGTACGAGCATTGAAATCAATTGAAAAAAGCCAAATACTTGTTGCCATTGAAGCGAATACTGCCAAACGAGGATAATTAAGCCAACCATTTAAAGATAGAAAAACACCCAGTGTAGCACATAAAGTGGCACCCAATAAACAAGTATAGACATTTTTTAAATGATTTTGAACCCGTGGTTGCCTATATAAAGATAACGAAAGATAAATTTAGACACAAAAATAACACAAAAAATACTTACAAAGTTGAAAAATCAAGAAGTGTTTTTAAATTAAATTTACTTGATTTACCATCAGCTTGATGTCTGCCGGTATTACCGAAAATTGAAAATCCAGCTGTTTGTGCCATATTGTATTAGAATATCGATTAAAAAATCTAGAAAATAATATTTTATGATATCATAACAAAACTACTTTTAATGTCATTTCATCGTTATGTACAACACGCAAACACTCATAATCCCGATCGTTTTACTTAGACAATCGGAATCTAGTTATTTCAATGTCATACTTAAATATCAAGAAAACTAATGATAATGTAACTATGCAATATTCTTGTCACGCATTTGTTCGCAGTAGTATTAGTGAACCAGTAATAAAGTGTCAAGTATTTAATAGTCAACTAAGGTGCTTGTTGTCTAGAACAAAACTCTAACTACACTACCTGTTGTTGGTTTTGTTTTAGTAGATTATTTTTCACATTAGGCAACCTTTGCTTTTTCACATTACGGCGTGGGTGTGAGAATGACATCAATAAGTGAAGACAATATATTTAAGTAAAAATAAAAACATAGTTTTACAGAACGAAGTTACTTATCCGGCTGCGATGTTTCAAATATGAAAACGATTCGCGTGATGTGAAGAAATATAGGGGGCGTGCTCCTTGCTTCCTCCGATTAATCTCGTGTAAATAAGAAAGTTAGAATGAATAATTTTAGAACAATAAAATGAAAAAAACAGTTTATTATATGCTTGATATGTCACGCAAAAAAGAATGATAAATTGAATGACGCAAAAGAAAACCCTTTCTTCCAATCTCGTTTCTCAACGTGGAGAAAGAAGGAATAGAAGGAAGTAAGCAAGAAAGAAAAACAAGAAAATAAACCGAATTATTCGTCGATGATAGCACGAATAGAACTATGCAACGAGCCATCCTGAGCTCATTTTAAATTTTAAATAAACATTAGAAAAAAAGGAAAGCTTATTTCATCGGAAGTAAAACGAATTGATATATTCTTGGAGCGGAATCTAAATATATACAACATCGCTCAGTAGTGACATCTGTAGAAAACGGAAATGGTATTTAGTGCAAATATAATAATTATGCAAAATAATCGAAGAATAAAAGGAATCATTTAAATTTCCAATATTGCTATTGAAGCCTTCTTTGTTTGAAGAAGAACACATCGATTACAAAGACAAGAGAAGACAGTCTAATGCAAAGCAACAAATATATAATCATTAACTACATTCTGGTATACGGATGTGCTACTAAATGATGTGAATTCGGTCGTGCATATGGATTAGGTTGAAGACATCGCCTCATACAATCAACTAAATACCGGTTTCTCTCTGGAAAAAATAGTATAGGTGTTCCTGATGCTATAGCAGCCGCTTTTTCATTTCGATCAAAAATACCATAAAATGGAGGACGACCATAGGTCATTTCATACAGAATAATACCAGCCGACCATACATCCGATTTTACACCTGACTGATGAGAAAATACCTCAGGTGCCATATAATCTGAAAATGATATAACCGGGAAGAAATCTACAGTATGATATTGAAAATATGATAAATATGTAGACGTACCTAGAGTGCCCTGAATTCTTCCTCGTCGAACTGTATTAATGGGTGTAGCAACACGGAAGGCAATACCTAGATCAGTTAATTTAAGCACATTATTAACTAGAATTATATTATCAGGTTTGATATCAGCATGGACTTTGAAAAAGAAAAAGAAAAACAACAGTAAATGAATGTTGAAATCTGTTTGCTTATTTCTATTACCAACATTTGAATTTTGAAGATCTTTCAAGATGGCGACAATCTGTTTCCAATATATTCTTCGATGTCGATCATTTAATGGTAGTCCTACTAGTTTGTCTCTTAAACTACCTTCACCTAATTCCATGATCATATAGCCTAGATTTTCATGACGATTATATTCATAATCATACAAATACACAAAATGGCGTGAACGTCTGCTCATAAATTTTAAAATACGTGCTTCTTTGTCAAAATTCTGAGCACGTTGAACTGTTGGTGATCGATGAGGAGGTGAAAAATCAAAAACTTTAACAGCATATTGATCACCATTTTGGTCTTCACATCGATATACTGTAGCTGCAGCACCTTGACCGATGACATCCAGAATACGATATAGACGACCATGAACGGTAAATGTTGGTCCTAGATAAAATTGAGAAAAAAAACAATACGTTAAATACTTTATCCGTTGGTTACAATAATAGAAAAAAAATTAACGCACTATTTGACGGACTTTCTCTAGATACTGTTGAACCCATATTGAATATTATTAATTATGTTATGTATTTTTGCAAAATAAAAATAATGCTCAGTTCGGTCCTTGGCGAAAATATTGCTATTGCCGTTAATGAGAAATACTAATAAAGAACAATTAAAATATGTATAATTTATTCGATGACAAACATTGTTTTCAGTATACACGCACGTTCTGGCTTTGTTTCTCACCTTTTTACAATTTTGTTCTGCACGATCGATCACACTTGAATGCGCATGCTTATGGAGGACATCGAGTGAGACCCATACAGATGAAAAAAGTCAGCTTTTTTCTGTCTCATTTAAAAATAGATAGATAAAAAAGAACTGATTTATTCATGACATCCAATTTGGATCATTTACAATCCAGTCAAAAAAAACCGAACGCTTAAAGTCACGCTTGAAATATGAAAACATAAGATAAGCAAAAGCAGACTGAAAAGAGAAAAGAGAAATACGATAATAATCTATCCTTCAAGCAATTCATTAATGACTAACAACATTCGAATACAGACTTTGCTTCTGTTTTCAAATGTACCAACATATGTTTATCAGATTTTATTGATTAAGATCCAACGAATGTGGTCATTAATTCACACCCTCAAGAATTAGGGGCAGGCTTCACCATACAATAACTGTTTTATAGAAAACTTGTCTTGAAATTTGTAATTTAAACTTTCAATATGTCTATCAAGTGATTTATAAAATTCTTCCATGAAAATAAGAGAGTGAATATCCACTTAAATGATATATGCGACGTTTATTTAGGTGTACATCTTTCTTTCATTTTGATTTTTTATCGATTCCATTGGCGGTAAAAGATATTTTAGTCTTTCCTATAGGGGAAATAAAAATATGAAGTGGATACTCTTATATTTTAGTTTATTCTAGGAGAAACTAAAATTTTAAATTTTCCTAGGAGAATTTTAATTTCTCCTGCGACATATACATGAAAATATTAACTGCTTTGAGTAGTGAGGGGCTATTGTGAACACGTTTTCAATCATCGAAATATAAAGCTTCATAAAAATTAAAATTTTTGTTACTTTTTCAAAAAAAAAAACTCACGTGTAGCCTTAAGTGTTCTCTATATGTCTATCTAAAAATCTTCTAGAAATACCTTCAGGAACTTGTTCATCCGCTGTTTTGCTAAGAGCTCCACAGTTTGTTCATGATAGCCCCACTCCGGGTTATTATGAACGTTTAGCTAAATTAGAAGTAAAAATCGAAGTTCATTCCGTATCACTTTAGTAATCATACGAAAAAGACTAATTAGTCATTTTTTTACTAATACATAGAGCATCTTCTACTCTACACTTCGTTAGATTGATGTGTCTATAGCTTTTATTTTGTAATAACAATAATCAAAACAATAAAGAGTAAGTAATAACACAAAAATGTTTTTTGCTCATATTTCCCCCATTGAGGCTATTATGAATATAAGTCAAACATAGGGGGTAATTCTGAACACTATGCTAAAAATGACTAGGTTACGCGAATTTTCATTCTTGANTTCATAAAAATTAAAATTTTTGTTACTTTTTCAAAAAAAAAAAACACACGTGTAGCCTGAAGTATTCACTATATGTCTATCTAAAAATCTTCTAGAAATACCTTCAGGAACTTGTTCATCCGCTGTTTTGCTAAGAACTCTACAGTTTGTTCATGATAGCCCCACTCCGGGTTATTATGAACACTCAGCTAAATTACAAGTAAAAATCGAAATTCATTCCATATCACTTTAGTAATCATACGAAAAAGACTAATTAGTCATTCTTTTACTAATAGATAGAACATCTTCTACTCTACACTTCGTTAGATTGATGTGTCTATAGCTTTTATTTTATAATAACAATAATCAAAACAATAAAGAGTAAGTAATAAAACAAAAATGTTTTTTGCTCATATTTCCCCCATTGGTGCTATTATGAATATGAGTCAAACATAGGGGGGAATTCTGAACACTATGCTAAAAATGACTAGGTTACGCGAATTTTCATTCTTGATCACTTTTCAAGGAAAATTGATATTAGATTGAAAATGAAGTATGCCTGAAATTGCACGTATTCATCAGCATTTTTTACTATGATGTTTCAAATATATCTTCAACGGTTTTTCGAAATTAGCAGCAAAATCGACTGTAAAAGTTAACTGTCACCTTCATTTGTGGAATTTCATATTTTTTAATTTTTCAATTGGTCAGCTAGTTGAAGCAAATAGCATTATATACGAAATGGACAAAGATTTATATACTTGATATTAGTTGAAATCGTTCGAGATAAATCTTTATTAGCTCTGGTTATTAGATTTTCTTCACAATTGACGCTGGTCATTTTTGTTGCTTATAATTGATAGTTTGTTGTTGTTGCTGTTGATAATTGATTGTGCTTTTCTTGATGGTTCGAACTTACAAACGTAAAACAGATGGGCCAACGTACAGCGAAGAAGATCTTAAACATGCCGTTAAACATATTGAAGTTGAAAAATGGTCTTATAGAAAATCTGGTGCCCATTTCAAAATACCTTTAGGTGCTTTATCATCTCATATTTTAAAATTACTGAATACAAATATCGGACATCCCACCGCTTTAGCATGTGAAGAAGAACGATATTTAGTAGATCTTAAAGCGATGGAAGACCGAATTAAAAATTATGTTTAGTAGTTCTCTGGAAAATGTACGTGCTCAAGGCGCTACATCAAATATTATTGATGAATGGTTTAAGGTTTTGCATGCTGTTTTGAAAAGGCTAAATCTTTTGGAAAAATCTCAAAACATTTTCAATATGGCCAAGGCCGGGTTCTGCGAAGAAGCTGACCGTCGAGTTGTTGTCGTAAAACGTGGTACAAAATACGCTAATCAGTAAGCAAGCAGTTTTGTATTGCTGTATTGATCTATATTAATAACAAGTAACGCGACGTAAGCGTCGCTAATCCTCTACTGAAATGGGTGATCATGTTTAATAAATAATAAATAATCATATACGTTTTGGCGTATGAATTCAACAATGCTATTTTCCATGTCTCAATATGTAGTGATAAGTGTATCCAACGTATTAGCTATTGTGGATTGTTGGATGACCTTTTATTTAGATTCAATTACTAAAAATCTCATTGACAGTTTCATAAGTAATATATTGCTTAGTCCGAGAGAGTTTTTAATATTTAATTTGATTCTTTTAATA